TGTAAATTAATTTATATTATTTAAAACATTTTGAATATTTCTCTTAACATTTCGTTGATACTGATTATATATTTTAATTTTTCCGTTTCGTTGAACAAAGTATCCCAATCAGTTGATTATTCGTGGCAATAAAAATCGTCCATATTTGTAGAATTATTTGTTACGTGACTCTAATTAAAGGGAGAGTAACATTTTCTTTGTTATTTCAACCTGTATAATTTAAATTTTATTATAACAAACGTATAGTTCCTTCTTTTGTATTTGTTAAAATACGATACACTATATACGTGGATAATCTCTTTTGAAGATTAAAGTACTATTGTGCTATGTATATGTATATATTATACGTTTCGTGTTACACAAAACTCTGGGGGAAGAATGAAGATGATATTGTAATTTTGGATGAACCAAAGAAGCTGTTCCCCTATATGAAACAAGCATGTTTCAATAATATCACTAACAAAGCTTCGCTCGTGCTTAATATCTTCCTGTGTAAATGTTTTTACTTTCAATTTCCATAGAAAAGTAACGAGAAGAAAACTTAAAAAAAAAAAATCGTTTTTGTTATACTATAAAATAAAAGAAAAGATTGATTTTCTGTATTCTATCCTTCGAACGATAATTCCTATCAAGTTTTTCTACGAAAAAATGCAGTGAAACGAGACATTGGTTAGACCGAGTGAATATTCATGAGTTTCCGGTCTATCGCATAAACAAGACCATTCACCTGGACTTAAAATAGCGTTCATTATCGGCGTAAGGAACATTAAATAATAATTAGGAAGTGTATGATGGATTTATATAATTCGTTACAAATCGAAATTAAAGTTTCAGCTGAAAAATCAAAAGATTCACAATTTAAATTCAAATTCTACCTTTTAAACACGTTCACTGTTACTTTTATCACTTCTTCATTTATAAAATCGTACGTCTACTCGCGTAACTGTTCGTGTAACAATCTAACGTCGATCAAATATCGATGCAATCGAAACGAGATAAATCTTCGAATAGCATGATACTTTTTAACGAGAATTTTTTATATTCACAAACTGCACACTTTTACATGCGATTTAACGAAAGCTTGAACAATTTATCATCGGTTAAATGTATACAGACACTAATTCAAATACGAAATACTTTAAATATTTCACTCTTTTGTATACGATTTATTAGTTTCGCGCTGGTGCAAATGCACCATACCGGAAGTACTGCGCCATCAAATTCAAATAAACCTACCATTTGAATATCATTCTCTCTCTATGATCCAATTTCTTACACGAGACGGGATTATTATGTCTATTAATTCAATTCGTCTGTATATTTTTTGAATAATATTAAAATAAGCATTTCTAAACTTTTCTAAAAAGGTATATATAGTCACTTATTTCTTTCGCGTGGTGTCGTACTCGAAGGGAAACGTAGGACAGTGGCGCAGCCTATTGGAACATCGATTACGAATGGCGGGAAGGTATTCGAAGGATAAAAGTAGATAAAATATTATGATCTCGCTTATATATATAATAATAGTAATAATAGCAATAATAATAATAGTAATAATAATCAACATATTCGTAAGCTTCCATACGCAGAGCACGCTAAGTTAATACATGTACATGGTTTCTTTACAAAAATAATAACAATGTTTCGGTGCAACATTGCGGATCCGGTGATCAATCTCGTCTAGCTAAATGACACTTTAGCAGCATTTCACTTTCATTTTTTTTTTTTTTCCTTTGGATAGATAACTCTCGTAATAATCCCCGTTCAATACTTTCTCATTCTAGTTCTCGACTCGTTTCGAAAAAGCGTGCGCGCGCACACTTGCGCATGCGCGCCACTTCTTGCGGTGGTCGATTCCCTTTCTCTCTATCTCTCTCACTCTCTCCCTCTCTTTCTTTCGATCTCACAATCAATCAATCTTTCTCACTCTCTCTTTCTCTCGATTTTTTTTCACTTTTTCATTCGTTTTTATAAATAAACTACTTTTTATTTGTCAGTTAATCGACATTGTCTTTGGTACATTTACAACGAACAGCATATACCGCGACAGAGAGTACGGATTTGGTATGTCGGACGGGGTACCTACCATCCGCCGTCATAAAAGCGCACGCAATTTCACGAAGAAAAAAGGGAAAACAGGAGAAACAAGAAAGAAAGAAAGAAAAGAAGAAAAAAAAAAAAAGGAAGAAGAAATTCCTCTCGAGGAGACCTTTCGCGTGTCATCCTAGCGCGAAGATTTCCGTCCGGAAATTAAAAAGAAAAACGAAAAGAAGCAGAGTGTGGGGAAAAACAGAAAGAAGAGAAAGAAAGAAGAAAAAAAAAAGAGAGAACGGAATTGATTAACGTGATAATTGACAAACGGAAACGTAAGAAGAGCAAACAAGAGAAAAACAAAGGAAAAAAGAAGAAGAAGAGAATGTTAGAACAACGGGGGAACAACAGCCTGGTGGATGGCCAGGAGAGAGCCGTTCGCTCATGAATCGATGATCGGAACGATCATTTGGTCCACCGTGAATTTCGTGATTCCAGTGTCCTCGAATCAGTTCCGATCGACCGGTTCACACCATTACCACCAACACCTCCCGGGAGATCTCTCTTCTAGGATAGACCTCAATACCCCGCTGAGTTCGATTTGAAAAAAAGAAAATGCTCCGAAATTTCCTCGCATCTTTTTCTTCCTGTTCTCTCTCTCTCTCCCTCTCCCTCTATTTCTTCCCGATTAAATAGAAAAAAGTATCTCCTTCTCGTGTCTGCCTTTTTTTCTTGTTCTTTCCCTCCCTTCGGTTCTCTTCTTCGTCTTGATCTTCGCGATACACGGCTACGGCGCTGTCTGATGTACTAAAATGCCACCACTGTCTACGCTTAAACGGTCGCTAAATCGCGAGCCTCGAGTCATTGCTCTCGACGACGACGATCCTCTTTCTTTCTTTCATTTTCTTCCTCTTTTCCCCCTTTTCGCCCTCTCTCCTCGTTTTACAAGATACTCGAAAGAGGAAGAAAGAGGGGGAGAGAGAAAAAAGGACAAAAATGGAAATTCAGTTGTTCGTCTCGACCGATCGAGAATCGTCGTAAATCTCAAAGCAATCACTCGTTACAGACGCGACGATATTAACGTTTCACAAACTGTGACGGTTCTACCTATGAATTTTCCATACGATCGCTCTCGTAAGAAACTTCTATAAGGCTCCCTGCCCCTTTCTCATCAACGAAACAATCAGGCATTCTCGCTTGGCTAGATCATCAAAAATGTTCGAGCAATTGCTCGATATCTCTGCTGGAGGTGTTTCCACGCCACCGGTGTCTCTCGAGACCGCCAGATACGATCATTTTTTTTTTCTTTTTTTCATAGTTAAAGGAACCGTTCGATCGTTGTTTTTTCTTCTCCTTCTTTTTTCGAGCAATTGCTCCAACCTCCTTCGGAACTACCGTTTAAGAGAAAAAAAAAAAGCTGTGATTCAACTGATCCATACCGCATCAGGCGTGTGTCTGTCACTTGCGAAAGGAAATTTTTGCTGTTGAACGAACAAAACCATGGGAAAACCATGCGTGTCGCTACGCAACATTTTACTTTCGAGTCTCGCGCGGTTTTCACAGGCACACTCGTCGCGTCTTTCATTGCGCGTGCTTTCCTTCTCTCTTTTTTCCTCGTCTTTATATCTATACATATATATACACACGCACACGCATACATACACACATACATATTTGCTTTCGTTCGTTCGTTCGTTCGTTTATAAATTAATAAGTGCGTGTCCTTAAAAAGATACCGTATTAACCAAATAATACGCGAGAAATAGCGTTTAGGATAATTAAATTGATCGAAGTGTAACTAAATTTATCGTAAATTAGTATATTAATAATTAATAACCGTGGTAAATTAATGAATTAAAGGGAAGCGAGAGAGATAGTATGTAATGAATAAATTAGGAACCAAGTACAAGAAGAAGAAGAAAATACAAAAGAGAGAAAAGAAAGTTACGATCGAGGGGGGGTGGGGGATTAATTAAATTAGAGCTTCGTTTCTTTTTCTCCGTTCAACAGGCTACGTTATTTCTCCACCGTGTCGATACGATCACGACTATTTATAATAAATTATACCGTATCAATGTTTCACGACGCTACACAGGGAACACGTCCCCGTGAATTAAACACTTTTCTTTAGGCCACACCTTAGCTCCGTACGTTTTAAACTTTACTCGTCTTCCATATACGTATCTCTCTCTCACTCTCCGTAACGTTCCCTTTTTCGTTCTTTCTCGTTCTCCGCATTCGCGAAATCATCACCCGTGAAACTTCGAAACGAAAGAGAGAGAGAGAGAGAGATAGAAAGAGGAGCGCACACCAGCGAAGAAACCAGAAAAAAGCGTCGTCGTCGTCGTCGTCGGGTAACGATCTCGCTCGCGACACACACGTTGTTGTTGCGCAAAAACGAAAAGAAAAAGAGAAGAAAAAAAAAAAGAAACTACAATTAGACGATACGCTACTTTCTTTCGATTCTCCTTAGATCGTTTGGAAGCTTCTTCACTCCACAGCAATATCTACAAAATGTACAATTCGCCGTCAAACAGAGGATCCGTTCTTTCCTCAGAGCCGTTAGATACACGAGCGACGAGAAGAGAATCTAACATAGTGCTTCCTCGCCGAGAATTCTTCCGTGGGACGATGTCGGCGGTGACCGTTTTACGGCGAAACGCTTCCAATCGATTCTCTCTCTCTCTTTGTCAAGAGTCGAGGAAAAGAAGAAGAAAAAGAAAAATTGCGAACGAAACGCGCGTTGCAAGAGCGATGAACCCTGTCATCCGACTCGTCTTCCGCTAAATTTATTTGTCAATGGTCGTCAAGCAATGATGGCACACAAACGCTTGCCCGTCGATCAGCATCGTACACGTCGTCGTTATTGTAGTTCGTTCGCTACAACGGCTAAATCGATCGTCATATAAATTTAACGAAGAACGAATCGGCTGGCCTTACGTGGATAATTTACTATTTACAAGAGGACAGGCGAGAAACAGGGATTCTGGCTCTGTGACATACGCGATTTCGATCGATTTCAAGATGGACGGGTTCTTCGTTCGCCGTTCGCGACGACCACGCGCCGCGTGTATACACGTCCTTAGAATTCATTCGTTATTCCATCGATCCGAACACGAACAACACCGTGTGTGTGTGTGTGTGTGGCTTCGATTCTTTTTCTTCTTCAGGTTTTTACAAACCGCGCAAAGACACCGTTGGTCGTGTCACCTTGTTTCGCTTCCTTTTTTTTTCTTCTTCTTCTCAATTATACTTTTTTCTAACGTTTTAGTATCGTGTTAAATTTTCGAGGCTAAGGCCTAAACACGACGGGAATTTCAATTACGACACGTTAACTGTAATGCGTATTGTGCGAACGAAAAAGACACGTAAACTTAAACGCAGACTTTCCAACGAACAAGCGCGTCTGTAATTATTGAACGAACGTTTACACAGTGGAACACAGTTGCGAGCATATTTTTGTATCTGGCACACGACACACTGGACGAAAGAGAAGCGAGCATGATACAGACACTAGAATTCTCTCGTCGAACGTGGACACTTGGATTACTCTTTCTTTCTTTTTTCGTTTTGTTTCTTTTTCTTTGGAAATTCCTCTTTCGGTTTCTTCTTCTTTCGCGGGCTCGCTAAGCGTAGAAGGGTTTCGAATACTCTCTGTATGGGTTGCCCAGTATTTTCGATACACGAATCGTTCTATTTTCCGCGGTTTCACACTGGCCGTTCATTTACGGGAAGGAACGTTGCGCTGAACTCGGAACTCGCGTTCAACGCGGATCGATCTCGCCCGGAGGGGGGTGGTGGAAAACGAAATACGAATGAAACGGGTGGAGAACGATTGGAAAAAGTAACGGTTGGACAGCACGGGGGAAGAGGAGAGGATGGGAGGGGAGGGGAGAGGAGAGGGAGAAAGCTTATTAATTCCGCGTGTTTTCTCGATCGAAGCTGAGAAAAGAAGAAAAGAAGGAAAAAGAAAGAGAAAAGGTTCTACGACGACGAGCAACGGTTGTTCTCTACTTAGCAAAGAGGGTGTGTAATTCGTCGAAACTTAACCTGTTACGTTTCTATCTTAACTCGACGCTAATAACGTTATGTAATTATTCTCCGGTTATTATTGTCTGCTCTAAACTATCTCGTATCTCCGATAGGAACAAAATTACTTATGCTTCTTCTCATGTTAACATACACGCTAAATAACACTCTAATTCCCCGCTTTCTCTCTCTCTCTCTCTCCCTCTATTTCTCTCTCACTCTACCTTTTTATTTTCTATTCACACGGCAAGATAGCAAGAGAGAGAGAAAGAGAGAGAGAGGGAGAGAGTCGCCTATTCAGTAGAGGCTTTATTTTTAAGCTTCCCTTCTTTCTACTTTCTCGTCCTTTGTTCTTCCAGCTGTTCAGGTCCAGCTCTATTTAAAGTTACCAGGCTACGGGTACTTCCTTTTTAATCCTACGCGCTCTTCTTCTTCCTCTCCCGCTGATCTCGCGCTCATCGATTCTCTCTTCTGATCGTTAAAAACGAGATCCTCCATCTCTCCTTCGTCCACTGGACGGCCGCCCCCCGTTTTACTCTTATTTCTCTGAGAAAATCAAAACGCAACGCGCGCGCACAGCTCAGACTCCTCTAACTAGTGCAACAATCTTCTCTTCCTCTTCTTCAAGCAAGGAGAGACGCAGGAAATTGCGTTCGAGAGAGAATTAAAATGATACAGGCACCCGAACGAACAGACGTTAAAGACGACAACGTGATCTAGATTCCCCGTCCGTGGTCGCACGATCGTCCAAGCAAATGCGTTCACCACGGATCTCTCTCTCTCTTTCTCTCTCTCTCTCTCTCTTCCTCTTCTTTCTTCCTCTCTTCTTTTCACGTTTCCTTCGTGTTTCTTTCTCTCTACCGGGGGGGTACGCAACAAACAGCCGCGTGAAAACGTTAGTCCATGGACGGAGATAGAAAGCAGCTGGGTGAAAGTGATTCTTCTCTTCCGTCGAACGTGGTGGTGGTGGTGTGATCTGTTAAGCTGGACGCCACGGTTCGTCGTCTTCACGTGGAATTAGCAGCCACCGGGCCCGGCTATCATTGATTCGAACGCTTGCCTTCGCTGATGGATGCCATTCTCATTGACTCCGCTTCCGGGCAGTTCCATCCGGGCATTCTCGTCTGCTCTATCGCCGCCTGAGAACATTTCAAATAGGGACAATTCTTCATACGCTTCTCTCTCTCTCTTTGCTTTCTCTCTGGTTCATCGGTATATCTATTTTACGTACGAGTGTAAGTTGCGAACAGAATTTGTTTACTGACAGAAACGATCGCGCTGGACTGTAACTTTCATACACGGCTACGACTGATAAATCGTGTAAAAAGTATACACGGTCCGGAAACAACGAAGGAATCAATTATCATTCTTAGCAGAGTGTTCTCCTTTATTCCGTAAGAGATTGGACAGTCTGAAGGCAGAGAGAAAAAAAAAAAAAGAATACGCAAAGTGCACGCACTTGGTACAACACTTACCGAGCTATTAGGATTCTTGGTCATGAAGATCATGAGGGAGCGGCTGCGGTTGCTAAACGGCCTCAACTCCGGATCTCGGCCAGGACCATCCACCGTGTCGACGCAGTTACTGTTGGCACAGAAATAACGTCGAATGTGAAATTCGTGCATTTATTAACCATCTCGCACGGATAATTTACACCCGACGAAGTCTCTCCCTCTGTCTGTCGACCATTCGTCTTACTGTTCATCCTTGGTAAATCACGGTTCGTCTTAGTCGTCGATGGAAAGTAGAGAGAAAGTAGAGAAAATAGAGAGAGAGAGAGAGAGAGAAATAGATAGAAGAGATAGAGATAAGAGAGAGGGAGAGAGAGCACCGACGAAGCGAAGATAAAGGTAAATACCGGTAGAAAATATACACACCTCGACCGTAATTCCTTTTGCTTTCGCTTACAGTGGATGTAAGCCGCTATGCAAATGATAACGACCAGGAATACTGCTATCGTGGCACCGCCGGCGATGCTGGCTGTCTCCAACATTACACGTTGCCGGGAAGCTGTAACGAAAATGTCACTTTCTTAGCAAACACACAACATCCACAACTTCCTGCCTCTAAGAAGACCTCCTCCTCTACTATAGCCCGTGTGTTTCTTCTCTAAAGCATGCTTTTCACATTGAACAAGGGGAGCTCGTTGTGAATTCACATTGTACCGCCCAAGACACAATACAAGTGTTTTACCGTGTCCACTCTGCCGTCGTTCGTGATTTTATAGAATATACACAGAGAGAGAGAGAGCAGGAGAGAGGAGGTAAAAGTGAAGTAACGTTTCTTTTAGAACAACGAGAGAGAAGAAGATACTCACGTAAATAGGAACCATCTAAATCCTTAAACTCGCATCTCTGCCCGATATAACCGTTGGCGCATCTGCAAGAAGAAAGAGAAAATGGATAACGTATATATAATAGTGTTGTGCAGATCGGAAGGATGAAAGAGGAGGATGGTGGAACGGCGGTGGCAAGGCTTTATTGTTCGTACGCGGGGCCACTTCCGTAAAACGCGGCAAGAAATCCAGGAAGCTATAAAACGTACTCTTTAGGCACGAACCGCTTTTAGTATCGGGCATTAATCAGATAGGTACGGCATCGCTCGAACCACCCAATTAGTACACTTAATTATTAACGAAAAAGAAAGAAAAAACGACGGAGAGAGAGAGGAAAAGAGTGTACAAGCGAGAGAAAATCACGCGTAGGAGGAGAAAAAACGAAATATATTTATATATAAATATAGAAGGAGAGAAAGGAAAGGTGTGTTTCTGGTTGAACATATCGATTCTGGCAATTACGCGGTAATTAAGAGGATTCTCACGGTCGATTTCATCGAACGGTACTATGGACGATGATTCGCCCTTCGAGCGGAATAATTAACCGAATCGCGGTGCGGTTCCATCGACATTAAGCCCGAAAAGAAGAAGGATTCGCGATTAATCGTAACCGCGATCATCGCCGAATTAACGAGATCTAGCGCCAGGTCACGCTCAATTGTTTTCACCCACAGACACAGCCACTCGTACGTATACATGCCCAGAGAGAAAGAATATTCTACACACACACACACACACACACACAAAAGGTTAGCATCGTTTTCGTTTCAGCTTGGTATACTATAGGCTTCTTTTCCATCGCGGAACCGAGCACTTGAGTAACGCTTCCGTTACTCCCACGCAACGAAACGTTTAATACCAAGACACAGAGAGATCCTGCTCTCTTTTTGCCACGGTTTCAAACCCGATACCGTTCCGGAAGGCATTTATCATCGATATCGTAACGCCTCGATCGATATTCCGTGTACCTTGGAAAGGCTCTATGGCTACCTTCCATCAAGGTCTCGATACTTCCTCACACGATCCGCGTGTAATTGCTCGTTCTCACAGTATAACTTTCCTATTAACTCACCGGTATCGAGCAGCTCTAATTAGAGCGGTATTATAATCTTTCTACATTACACCTGGTTACCGACGATTGAGCTACGGTTTTTTCTTCTGTTTTAATCGTAGATACTTACGATCCCGACGGACGTGGATCATCGAGAATTCTCGCGTTTCTCTCTGTTCTAAACGCTCGAGAGGTGGATTTCTGACCAGGCGAAAAATCCTCGCGTTTTCAAACCGATACCTTAATTAGCGAGAACAACTTGATTTCAGTTGTTCCCGGTGAAATGTGTTCGACGCATGCACAACCGAGCGGATTGCGATTTTGCACGAGTGGTGCAACTTCGAGGAAAAGTTACGGCGCCGATTTGTACGTTTTATTGCCGTATCGCTGCATGAATAAATTTCCCTCGAATCGAGTTGTTTCTATGAAAACTTGGATAAGAAAATTAATAATAAATAATTGGAAATTTTGGATAAGAAGAAATTCTCTAGAATAATATCGACAGAGAGAGAGAGATTCTGTAATTATGAATGGAAACGACAAGAGAGCCGTTCGATCTCCGTTAACACGACTCGCACAGGGATAAATCGAATCGATTAAATCGCCGCGGCGTGTCTGATCGGACAAACAATCGTAATATACGTGGCAAGGAACGATCAATAGAGTAACGACAAATCTCGAGAAGCAACAGAATCGTATAACGTGGCGCAATGATTTACCAGGCCTCTGTGGTTTACTTTCAGAGCACCGTTTTATTGATCTAATCAATGGCCTTCCAGTAGATTTCCCAAGCCGTCTCTCCCGCTTAATTAGAACCGGTGTCGATGATGAAAAGAGATTTGCGCGCGTCCGGATCACGTAAATCTGGTTTCCTCCGTTGTTTCGCACATTTTGACGTCATTGGTAGAGCGACCGCGAGCGATCGGATAACCGCGAGAGAGTGTTCAGCTTACGAATGTAGATGAAAATTACGCAAAATCCTTCTTTTTCTTCTTCTACTTCTTTCTCGATTTCTCGCAGCTTCGGCGAGAGAACTCGTTACCGTAAAAACCTACCTAACTCGTCCGTTCATCGAGACAGAAATGATTATCGGACGTTGGAGAGTCTCGTTAGGAAATGTCGTCTTCGCGCACCAGAGCCGCAAGAAAGTGGAAACGTTTATTATCCAGCACTTTCCACCGCTGGAATTTTCTCCGTCCGCTTCACGGAATCCTCCTGTTCGTTCCGCGGAAATTATGGGAGCGCGAACGAGGAAAAAGTAGCACGTACGATGGCTCGCGAGAGGAATCGGCCACCGGCACACACAACACCGACGATTATTCATTCGAACCGATCACGATGTTTTCGATCGTTTGCATGAGAACTGCGGACGGCCGTTAACGGTGCACGATTTTTACTTTTTTCGTTTCTTTTTCCTCCGAGAAACTACGTCGATCCACCCGCCTGTGTTTTCTAAACGTCTTCTCGTTTCTCTGTTCGCTCGAGTAACGCAGACTGGAAAGCCATTTTGTCGGTGCCTTCGAGTATACCGGATTGAAACGACGCGTTTTAACATCCTATCACGGTTCGATCACCTTAGATTATTCTATCATTGATGGAAATTTACGTAGATATTATTTTTCAATTAGTTGTGCCTATTGGCTCACGGCCAATTTACCAACTTATCCGTCTATGTTACCACCTAACTATGATGTTTCTTGAACTGCACAAGTGATTATAAAAATTTGCAAAACATCTCTGACGCAGAGGACGAATCCTGCGTTAATAGTGAAAAACGAAGAAGAACTTTATCCTAAGCGTGAATATTAACACTATCATTTGGGAATGAGGTAGTCTTTAGACTGACAAACAGGATAGTGGACCGATTGAAATTTCTTTTGCATCGAGGTTATATATACTTGCGCGAACTAAACTTCAAATTTGTCCTTCCTCTACAAGGAACATTTCATTCTCGTTCTAAGAAACTTTGCTGGATAATATCGTCAGACGTTTGTTCATCTTCCTAACGTACGATTCTCTACTTTATTGGAAACCTTTCGATCGGATCATCCCGAAAGTTAATTTCATCCTCGTACATAGAGAAAATATCTTCTCTACGTGATCCAACCTACCACCATCAATCCTCAAGTTTTCCCAAACCGATCGACAAAAGCTTGGAAAAGCTACAACATTCCAGCAAAGCCAGAGAGAATGATTTTCAAGAACGTGTCGTTCGTTCGAGAACATCGCAGTTAAAAGCAAGAAAGATTCGTAACAATCGTCTCGGTGTTCCACACAGAGGACTCCCGTAGGAATGTGAACGTGTCCACGTTACGGCGTCGAGGATTATAGGCGTCGGCAGTGGCGAAAGGAGGATCCTTTTTTTTTTTTTTTCAAACCTTCCCTTCCCTCGATTCACACCCCGATTGTTCCAAAACGCCACCGGTGTCAGCGCGATTCTACAGTTTGAAAGGGTGGCAGAGGGTGAGAGCACGTGAGCGAGAAAAAAAGTCGGCGCCCGTGTAATGTTCAGCGGCGATCCTTCGATCCTTTTTCTCATTCATACCGGCGCAAAGTATATACACACGCGTGGTCGGGCATCAGTCCGGAACATTTCGAGATTCGGTGAATTCGTCCCGCACGTTTCCAAGGAAATTCCATGGGAACAAGAACGTTCTGGTGGTTGTTGTTGGACACAGGTGTATCTGGTGAATCGATGGGAATTTCTTGGAATTTTCTACCGTGGAATTGAGGAGTAAGGATCGATTTCTACCGTGGACAGATTAATCGAAGAAATTAGAGACTTTCCAAAGATTTTTCTCTTCGCGATAGGATAACTACAAATGTTCATCTGTATAGGTTAATTGGAGGATTTCTGTGATCCTGCGGCGAGAAACGTCGCGTTTCAGGTATTTTCGTCGATACCAGCTGGTGTTTACCAAGGGTGTGGTCCCTCGTTACGTAATCTTCCAAAGCGTCTTCGCCGCTGAAATTCCACGCGTGATACCGCGTCGTGACGTGTCGCAATCCACCGTGAGATAGTTTTGCTTGCTCTTGGAAAGCGATCGTTCGAAAGCAGCCGCGAGAGAGACCACCTCTTCTGAACGGGACTCGTCGATTTCGAACCGATGTTGTGTAACTATAGACAACCTAAGCTGTTTGCCAACCGATGGAACACGGTAACACGAAATCTTGATCGAACCCTGTCGCAAAGTGAATTTCCGTGTCCGCTGAAAATTACGCTCGAGCCTAACCTCCGCCGAACGAAGAAAAAAAGAAAATTAGCCACAAATGGACATCGACAGTAGGACACTCGTAAATCATCCCTCGTGGTCGCGGGTAATTGTACGGAGAAACGTGAAATCTCGAGACAGATATACCTGGCGAAGAGATAGAATAGATTACAAAGAGGGGTTGACGACCGATGGTTATCTGGTGGAAACGTTGCTAAAAGCCATTTCCTTCGGCGAGAGCAAACTCTGACACGCGTGTGCCGAGTAGAAAATTTCGTACACACGCACACACAGGGTGAACAGGTTTTTTCTTCTTTCCCAGCGAGTTAAACAAAGCATGGAATTAAAGTAAGGTTCGATGGGATAAACGGGACTGAAGGCGCACCATTATTCACGGTAGATTTCTAAAGTGAACAACGTGGCCGCCGCCGCCGCGGTCGATAGACACGATAGGTAATAATCGGTTAACGGCTTCTCCTGTTCGATCGTACACGAAAAGCACGCGAGTCGTGATTTAAATGTCCGCGGAGGAAGGCTGCGGCTGCGTTCTCATGCGTGCGCCAGCCTCGATCACGATTGCGGTTCCATGAGAAGATTGCATACATGCCTCTGTTGCCTGCACACAGTTATCATTTCGCAGAGGCTCGGGGGATTTTGTGGAATTTCAACTATTTTAACCCCATAGTTCTCTAACGTTGTGGAAATATTTCTGCAATCGCGACTTTTTCCAAAATTGTTCGTTTCGTGGGAGAAAAATCTTGCATTTGTATTTTTATATTACGATACTTGTTACGTTCGATGTATGTACGATAATTGAAGAAGAGGTCACCAAAATGGCGCGTGCGGAACAAACTGCAAGATTTCTCCAACGAAAGAAAGAAAGAAGAGAAAAGAGACGACAGGGTATGTACTTACAAACAATTGTAAAGGAGGGAATCGACGATTTTGACAGTGAAACAAGTGGCACCGTTCAAGCAGTACCATTCCGCATAATCCGGTGGACACGTGTACATGTGGAATGTGATATTTGGTCGAGGCGTCGGCGTCGGTGGCCGTGGTTTCGGCGTCGACCGCGATGAACAGGCGTCTGTTGACAAGAAAATCATACAAAATTACTCCCACCGTTCAATTCCCGTTAACCCGTAACCTCTGTTACAAATATTTAGGCATCGGAACGTCTAGAAAATTTGGTACGTTCGATTGGAAACGGTGAAAATAAAAAAAAAAGAAAAGATCGAGGCTCTTCGTGTGGTATAGGTACGTTCTAAAAAGGGTTTCATTGCGTGTTCACGAGGAAAAATGACACTTTGATCGTGGATCAATGAAAGCTCGGTGAGAAAGCGGTTGAGCGGGCGAATTTGCTCGATTAAGTTGTGTAACGACCAAAGGCCAAGCATCATTTATCCCATTACCGGGGCACGAGGGAGAGAGGCGAATTGTCGAATGGTCGCTTTAGAAATTCCGACGGCTTCCAGGCTTTACCAACACACAATGGACGGCCCGTATTTTAGGGCTGGCCTGAGTGCTCGTGCCTCGAGCCTCGCCCCTCTGACACCCCCTTAGAAACTTACCAAGAAAACCGTTCCTTCGCTCCGCGTCTTTTATCACGTCGCTGACTTCGATCGGCGCCCATTAACTTCCTCTAAATCCAAATCAACTTTTCTTTCTTCCCTTCAACATTTCCATCCACTCTCGCTCTGTTCGTCATTTCTCGCCATTTCTGCCGTTTCTCGGGCGAAGAAGAAGGAAAAATTATCGCAATTTCTTTCGTTTCAGCAGAAGAAAGAATTATCGCAATTTTCAGCCACTATCTTGTGCATCTTCGAATTTTTTCACCTGAATTTAATATCCCCAGCTTCTCTTTCTCCTCTTCCTCTTTTTCGCCGAAATTCTTCTGCGAATATTCAGAGCAGCAAAACGCCTCATTTTTCGCATTTTCGACAGCCGCTGGATCGTGCGTTGCAGTTTTTATACAAAGCAGAGATGGTACACATGGAGGATAAAAAGGGCGCAAAGGAACGCCAGGCACTCGAGGAGAGACTCGCCGCGTTAATCGGGCATACCATCGAACAATTCGAAAGTTGGAAATATTCGCCGATGAGCACGTGAAACGTGGCCAGGGTAATAAGAGAGACACGCAGGAGGTGAGCTGTACGCGTGTGTGTGCCACGAGCTGCGCAACACAACGCACACCGGGCGTTCTTTCGAGGAACGTTGCACGTCGCATCCGCCCCGTGCGAGCCTTTGCTATCTGTCACCTGTTATAATTTTGCAAACGCGCCTCCTCGATCGGTGACCCGAGAGACAGACACCAGACGATGCTGTGTGTCTGTCTCTTGAATTTCGTAACGTACCTAAATACACGCGTTATTTTCACGAAAGAAACGAAAAATGGAAATGTAACACACAACAATGTGTAAACTTTTCGAAAAATGGTACTTTCTCGTTCGAGGCCAAAAGTACGGATAATTCGAGTTAAACGATGGGAATACAGCTGTAAAAGTGACGGTTTCGTGGAAAAATTGACCTGTGTGTATACGGCGTATTATGGCAATTTGTATGGTAATTTGACTAAATTGCATCCCTTTTTTTCCCTCTTTGCACGGTCACGTCAGATTGAAGGAGGGGTTGTCCACGGCGTGCCATGTGCGTTGCAAATTCGACGAAACAATTCACGCGGTATGTACATAATTGTTACGGGCCATCAGGGTCCCGGGGAGCGTCGCACGTGTTGCATTCTTGCAATCTGTCGTCGCCACGCGTCCACTCGAGATCGCGTTCCCTGAATACGGACAATGGGATCGCTTTGTACGCAGCCCCGTCTCGGCTTACGGCCATTTTTCGGTCGTGCACGTTGCAATTTGGTAACTTTGCGCCTCTCCGGTGTACTCAAGAATTACAGCTATGCGCGTGTTGTAATAGGCTTTTGCGAAAATCCCACCTAACGTTAATTACCATTCAAAAATACCATTGAAAAAGGAACAAAAAAAAAAGGAAAGTTTAAACCAGTGCTGTCCACGATTTCACGTATAAATTTCGAACAAAATCAGACACGTATCCACGTACAAAGCCTTCTTAAACTCCGTATTCTCACTTTTCGGACAGCACCGATTCAACCCTTACGTTATCACTTCACTGTTTCAGCACTGCGTTGCAACACCCGGGGTCGACGAAGAGCCTCGTTCGAAACGATCGGTTAGAGATATATAATAGAATGCATTTTCACTAACCTGCGATACCGAAGAGGGTGTAAGAGAGGATGAGTAGAGTGGCGAGGTAGGGCGGGATCCTGCATCCTCTCGTCATGGCAGTGACGGTGGCAGGGTTATCGGTGACGGTGGTACCATCCGCGTGACGATCGGTGGTAGTCCTATGGACGATGCGTTCCACGCTTTCGTCCCGATGATTATGATCACTGGGCGGTCTGTCGTCCCTGAGCCGCTGATGAAGATGCTGATGCAGATGATAATGATGATGGTGGTGGTGGTGGTGGTGGTGGTGATGAGGTTGTTGATGATGATGGTGATGGTGGTAGGGATGATGATGATGATGCAGACGATGATGATGATGACGTTGATGGTGATGGAGCTCGCGATGCTGACGACCGATGTTGTCTCGACGAGGCGAAGTGGTTGTCGTTGCAACTGGTGGCGAGGGTGTTGTGGTTGTAGTAGCAGCAGCGGTGTCCTGGCACGTAGACTCATCGTCGACTTCCTCGTCGACGACGAGCTCGTTGCTGCTAGCTACGACGCTGTCCCTTCGTTGGTGACATCGATGACACTGTTGCTCTTGCTGCTGCTGCTGCTGCTGCTGCTGTTGCTGGTGACGATGATGACTATGGCGACGATGTATATGGTGGAGGTGATGACGACGGTGGCTATAGTTGGTGGTGGTACTGCTGTCGCCGCAGCAGACCTCGCCATCCGCCACCGGTGAACAACTAACCTCCTCGATCACGCTCGCTCCAACCGGCTCGCATCCTCCTACTCCCCTTCCTTCGTCCCTCACATCCACCAAGCCTCCCACCACCCCCGCTGCTGCTGCTGCTGCTGCTGCCTCTTCTGTTTCTTCAACGGCACGAGCTCCACCACCTGGCCCAGAACTCCGGCGCACGTGCCGCCGCCTCCCTGTAACCAAATATCCGACCGGCCGGCCGTTTACAGTGTGTTTTATCTCGGCCCGGCTCCGCTTCATCTAGCCGGCTGATCCACGCACACCCGGGGGTAGTTAAACACGACGTGGCGCAAACGGCCCACCGACCAACCGAATAATATATCCTTGCTTCGGAGGATAGGTCGCACGTGTGTATACCTCTGCGTGTGTATGTTCAGTCGCGTTGGATGGTGTGCGTGGGGGATATGCTACGCTAAAAGTTTTCGGATCACTTGTCAATTTTATGTCGATGGGGGAAATTTTTCAGAGGGTGACATAAGCTATTTCTACCTTTCTTTCGGTAGATTAGAGTGGTTGAAGATTTGGGAAAATGTTTCTTCGAGTCGTTAATATCTGTCGGTGAATGCAACGCACAGTGGTTGCAAACTTTCGGTGGACAGTGTATATCGTGTAAATTTTTGCGATTGTTTCTTTTTTTTTTTTAGTGGGAGTGGAATTCGAGGGGCTACAGGGGATAGTGTGTAGGAGTGTGTGAGACGTCACGCGACATTTTCGGCGATTTACCCTTTTAACGGGAGGGATTGGAGAGGTCGACGTAATCAGTCGACGAGTTGAATAAAGCAATACCTGTTAATCCAGAAATTGCAAATATCGTGATAAAATATTCAAATTGCAAGGGTAGAGCACTATCGTTATACCGACAAAAGGGGAAAGAAAGAAAAAGCGGGACAATCTAGATACCACGACCCTCTCGCCCGAAATCCTCGTTATCGCGAAAATAGCCTGAATTAACCCTCCGTGTTGTCGAACGATATTAATAAGAAACAACATTCAAGACGTCCGGGACGTGAACGTTTCCCTGTCACGCGAGTAATTTTCACAAATTTCCTCCACCTCGATCCCACGTACCGCTATCTCTCGAGCGACGTCAAACCGCTATTCGATATCGTTGAAAACGATCGTGAAAACACGACTTTATCCCCGTCCGAGGGACATTTCTTTTCAACAACGGAACAAACACACGGTCTCGACGAGAGGGCGAAACTTTCTGTCTAAATGTCCGAGGGTAAATAATTGTTCGAGGGTTGTCGCGTTTTTCGAAAGATGCGGGGGTGGTATGTAAACCAGAACACACGCGAACGCGATACTTTTGTGTTTAAGGGCGAGTTTCGAGGAAAGTTGGAAAGGCTTTTCCACGGCGAGCCATTGTGTCGCTATGCCCATTGTGCTCTGTTTGGAGGTAAAATATTTGCCACGAAAGAGAAATTGTTTTCCACCCACCCTACGCCGCCTCGCTTTAAAGCCATCTGCCTTTCATCCCGAGCGTCGATTATTCACGATGATTGGATCAGGTTGCAGCCTACTCTCCTATCGAGCGTTCGTTTCCGTTTTTCGCGAGATTTTGGGGTGAGATTCTATGAAGCCTGCCAGCTCTATAGGGCGGACCTATTTTACGCTCCTTCAGGACTCGAATGGCTAAAGGGCGAAATCTGTATTGTGCGAAGTTTAATACCCTACCCTTTGCCACTTTTAAAAAGGATGCACATTTCGCGTGGAAAAGTTTCAGGGAAGATTTGCTCTAAATAAGTGTGATTATCTAAGTATTTACCCTCGTTTTGCAATCTTCGCGAACACTTTTGAAGAAGGCACATTTCACGTAGAAAATGTTTGAGAAAAGTGTGAAAAATGAGAGAAAGACAATTCCGGCGATTATTTCACTGGAACCTGATCGAAAGCAGGCTGAAAGATCGCAGCTCGATACGCTCTTAACCGGAATCGTTTTTCAGAAGACATTCCAGATTTCACGGCGACCTTGTCCCAGTAATAGGCGTGTTGTAAGCCGTGCACGATATCGTGCGCGACAACTATCAACTTTAATTGCCGTAGATTTTCTCCCAGGCTGTGTGAAAAAAAAAGAAAAAAGAATCGCAAACTCACCGTATCAAAACACACTTTGACTTTCTAGTGTGACGAAACCTGTTAAAAAGTTTCTGCAAAAATGGCAGAGTCGATGTGTTAATTCGACAGAGTGGCTATTCTCACACGGATTATAGCAGTCAGCTAATAACATGTAATCGACGTTGTCGTGATTCATTCGATAGACACGTCCACGACGGGAAATTGGCTACGTGAAGTATCGCAACGTTTTCACGGAACTCGAATGCCGGCGATCCCGTTCGATTAACATGCTAGATGTGACACACAAAACTGACACCTTGCGTCAAGTGCGTGACGTCAATCCTCGCTGAAACGTTCACACTTGCCTTGCAAAGCACTCCTAGAACACGGAGAAAAATGTCCGTGGTCCTTTGACGATCGAGTGTCTTTGATAGAATATTAACCAAAGAAATAGTTCGTGCCTCTTCGTTTGCATAACAGAGAAACGTATTAATTCATCTTCCATTCGAATCTTCCACCTCTATAGACGCTATTCTCTCGATTGTGTACTTTTGTCTTCGCAGACGGATAACGAGAAACACCTGATTTTATTGTCCGAAGAAAGAGTATCGCAAGAAGAGATTTCTTCAATAGGGAAGAAAAAAAGAGGCGTAGAATTTTTATCGAAGAAATTTCTAAGAAGGCGATTGTTCAATTCTCGAGTAGACAACGACGAGAGAAACAGAGGAGGATAATCGCCGACGAGGTGAATGGTTGCCAAAAATTGCTGGAAAACGCAACGAGCGTGCAGAAAAGAGCGGTCGCGGCCCCGCTAGACCGGAAGTTACGGTAAAGTGCGTGCAATTAGAAAATAACCTAAATTCAAGGCGGTTCGCGATTCGTGTTGAGAACGATCTCGCCGGGAACGAGCTAGCAGAAGCGTTTAACAGAAGCGTCCACGAGGGAAATGATCAATTATCAAGAGCAGACCACGTGGGCTGTACTTTAAGTCACCGGCCACATTGCAACTATACCGTCACCTACTTACGTCAACGAATTTCGACACATCGCAAAGAAGATCCTCTTAAACATCGCCAAAGTCTCCTTTACGAAATTTCCCCTCTCGGATCGACGCGAAACACTCGTAACGACAGCAAATGTAAAGTACGACACACGTGGTGACTTACGCGTATGTTCACACGAAAGCGACAAATTTAAGACTGCCAATTCCTAGCCATTTTTTTTCACGACAGATTTATCTTCCTCTTCGATACGTTTTCTTCGCCGACAAACATAGAAAATAGACACCGAATCTTTCCCGATGAAATCTTAATCTCGATCAAAGACAGGCCAAATTTCGTGAAAATTTTAATGCGAACAATCGGACGAATGTTCGTCCGCGAGTATTTCACCGTTGGTCCGGGAGATTTTCTTTAGAGTGGCAGTGAAGGAAGTACGAACAGCGTGAAAAAAAGTCGCTACAATTTGACAATTTGTCTCGTTGGTGTGAACACGCGAAACAACGTTCAGAAGAGCCTATCGAAGAGAATCGAACTGGATTGGCGCGTACAGTGGAGAAGGCGCGCTCGCTCGCGCGGGCAATTAGAGACTTGAACGCCCGCAAAGGACGCAAACCTTTTTCGCCGCGACATTCCTGATACGTTCGCGGAGGAACGCGTTCGAACGACACTTGACATTTATGCAATACGATTCACTCGGGATGAATCGTATGTGCGAACAGGTTCACTCTCGATCTGAATATCTATTTTCAACAACTTTTTACAAACACTTCGAGTGTTCCTCTTCGTCGAATTCCTGTGCGCGTGTGTCATCGTAGAAATTCGGCCTGTTGCTTCAGCAGTTGATTTATGTGGCAGATTAATGGCAATCTTATCGGACCGAGTAGCGATATCTAAATGATAGAATGACAATTCAATTCTATCAGAGGAGAACCAGGTCGAGGGGCTTAAGCGTTTACAATTTTGTTTTCAGAAATTCCAATTTCCTCCCTCGATAAAACGCGTAATCCGTGTGTAAAACTCGAGGAATTCTCAACCGATGATCGAGAAATTCTGGTGTTTGTTACTTTATCGATTCCGTTTCGAAAGAAACTGATCGAATCTCGGAAGATCGTTTACACGCCGTTTTTTTTTTTTTTTTTATCGGAACTCCAATTTACTCGTAAAAATCGATTTGTTTAACCTGTCGCGAGGCGGCTTCGAAAAGTGTCAACAGAAACGCGATAAACTGAACACCGGCCGTCGCTGGTCTGCGACGCGTTTTACGCCTCGAGGACGATATCGTCGAGTGCACGCGTACCTATACCTACACGTTAATATAAATAGAATATATCGGGGGAATATCGATTCGTTCCTGCGGACGACGTTATGTAAGCGCGTAATGGCAGCGTGTACGAGCAATTACGATTCTTTTTATAAGCGTGTCGCGCGTATGCACGCGTCACGGCGACCACGATCAACGAGCACAGGGAACACGCCGATTAACGGATATTTATGTAAGCGAAAAAGAGGAAAATTAACGTGGCGCATTGTTTGTGGAGCACGCCAGCCGTTGCGTAAACGCGTACTATATCGGTTCAACGAAAGAAAATGTAAAGACGCGTCTATACACACACGCACGCGTATTCTCTCGTAGAATCGTGTTAAAAGTCCTTCTTCGTATGAAATATCTCGAATATCTTCGCGTTTTTCTTCCCTTGTGAAAATTATAATTCAAAACCTATATAAACCAGATGACTACCATCAAGGAGGTTTGAAATCTCATATTTTTACCCAGAAGAAAAGAATACCACAGCTCCTGTGTGCTTTCCGACTGAACGTCCGGTCGCGAGCCCCTAATTTGTTAAACGATTCACAGCTCGAGAGGCGCGGCCGCCCCTTGCAGCAGAAAAAGAAGACGAAAAAGAAGAAGACGGGACCAACCCTCGAGAGAAAGAGATAGAGGGAGAGAGAGAGAGTGGAGAGCCAGGATAAATTCTATCGAGACAGCCACCGACAGCGATTCTTGAATTATACGAGAAATTCTGGGCGTGTCTGGTCACGTGTCTGGCAAAAGCTGCAGCAGCCTTAAAGTGAGACAAGGGGGAGTGCCACGGGGAGAGATGAATTTTCCAACG